ATGTCACTGGGATTTGAATCCAGATTTAAATCCAGAGCCTATACTTGTAGCTGATTATCTGAATTCTTTCCCCCACACCCACAACATAACATCAGATCATGAACCTATTCTAATGCTAATAAACAGAACTGCATCTCATCATTTTATAACTACAATATTCCATTGTATAGCTGTGACAGAATGCAAGTGTTACCCATATTCCCCATTATAGAAAATGCCCCAATTAACATCATAATTAATACATCTTTGTGCACAAACTTAATTATTTCCTTTAGGATGAATTCCAAGAAAATGAGTGGCTAAGTTAAAAGGTAAACACATTTTTAAAGCTTTTGATAAACACTGCCAAATTGACATTCCCACCAGAAGAGTGTGAGAACAGCTGCTTCCTCACAGTCTTGAGTTCTGTCATTCCTTTTCAAGATTTGCAAAATATACTGAAGAAAATGGCATGCCATTTTGACTACTGCTGAGATACAGTGGTACCTTGGAACTCAATGCTAATTGGTTCTCGAAGGCTTGGAGCACCAAACAAATTGCTCTGGCTGGAAATGGTAGCAAGTCATGAGGCAATGGACTCCAACAAGTTCTGGCTTAAATATTGAGTACCAAAACAATCAGGATCGGGATAAAATTTTTGTGTCAAGATGCAGCTAGTACCAAATCTGACAAGTTCCTAAGCAGTCACGTACCAAGGTTATGACTGCAGTCCATTTTTCATACTTATTGCCATTTAGGTTTCTCCTTTTATGTATTTTCCTTTGCCCATTTCTAGAAAAATGATTGTATTTTTCTTATTGCTCTGTAAGTCTTCACATGTTAACCATAAAGACTCTTGTTGCAATTGCTCTTAGTTTTCTCATTAACTTTATTTATAGTTAGTGCTGGGGATTTAGTTCAGTGGTTCCGCCACCTGCCTCGCAAGCACAAGGTCCCAAGTTTGATCCCCAGTACCCGCCCCCCAAAAAATTCTATTTATAGTTTGTACAGAAGTTTTAATTTTTCATATAATTGATTATATTAATCCTTTTATTATTTCACATTCAGTATTATATATACATATATCTTCCTAGCCTCAAGATTACATAGTGTCCTATATTTTGTTTTACTTCCTTTATATATATCTCTCTCTCTCTTTTAACTTTCAAAAAAATTTTTTGGGACAGGGATCTCACCTGGTTGTCCAAGCTGTCCTTGAACTCTCAAACCTCCCATCTCATCCTTCTAAGTTTCTTGAACTTTTAATTCTTTTACATAGCAGCTCCCAGACAAGAATACACACCAGAATTGCTCACAGAGCTCCTTTGAATCCTTAGGTTGAGTCTTAAGACTGAATCACAATTTGGGGAGATAGGACCTGACAAAAATACTTCTTAAAGAATCACAAGAAAGGGCCAGGGATCTAGCTCAGTGGTTCCACTTCCTGCCTTGTAAGAGCAAGGATCCGAGTTTGATCTCTGGTATCAAAAAAAAAAAAGAAAGAAAATCACAAGAAATTCTGATGCCCTACCTCTTCACTATTTTGATCCTTCTAAATGTATGCAGATATCATCACTTTTCCAAAATACCTCAACAGGGCTGGGGATTTAGCTCAGAGGTTCCATTGCCTGCCTCGCAAGCGCAAGGACCCAAGTTCAAATCCCAGTACCAAAAAAAAAGTGCAAAATACCTAAACAATTTTATAAATTTTTTCATTAATTTGAAATCCCATCTTTATCCTACTTTATAAGTTCCAGAAGAGCAGAAACCGTATCTGTTTTCCCTGACTACTACATTTCTAGGGCCCAGCAGAGTCCTAGGCACAAGACACAGTTCAATAAATGTTAATTAAATAAATAACACCTGACATTCAAGTCGCCAGTATCAAACTGGCTAGTCTCTTCAATATTTTCTTCACTATTACACCAACAGAATTGATGTTATTAATACTGACCTTGAGTTATCTAAATTATGCCCTCTCCACTCTATTAAAGGTGGCCAGAAAATGCAATAGTGGACTTTAAAAAGTGGAATCAAACTAATAACAGTGGCCATGTTTAAGAGGTATAGGAACTCTGACCAAATTCACCATGGAGAACTAGACAGCAGTGACCCATTTTTGTAAAATGTTTTCTTTTTGGTACCAGGGATCAAAATCGTGACCTTACGGTTTGCGGCAATACCACTGAGCTAAATACCCTGCCCCTCTAAAATATTTTCTAAATGTCTTCTAAGATCTCTTCAGATCTAAACCTCTACTTGAAGACCCAAAGAGACTACCACAGGGTAGAGCTTCCATGACAACCTGAAACTAGCTCCACAGAATAAGGTTTCAGTCCCACCAGAGCTAAAGACAATAATAGTAACAGTAGGTATTAATAGCTATTGCTAAATTTTTACTGAGCACTTTTAAATACTAAGCAATAGCCTAAGCATCTTACGGTCATAACAAAGGCACACATTTACATGGCACTTAACTATGTTCCAAGTGCACTGTACACATTAATTCATCTTTACAACAAACCTATAAAGTGAGTCCTACTAGCATCCCCATTTTATGAATGACAAAACTGAGACACAGATGGATTAAGCGACTTGCCCAAGGCCTTACAGTTACCAAGTAACAGAATCAAGAGAAACGAATTCAGCCCCATATGATTAACTATCATACCAGTCTTCCAAACTATCATTGTGCTGTGCTTGTCACCTCAGAAGTTGCTCAAAACAAAGATAAGTGCAGTAATCCAAAGAGCTTACTGATATGTATTGTGCCCCTCTTCCCTAATGCTTGAAAAATACAGATTCACTTCAATGTGATTTTAATCAGAACAGATTTCAGAGCTTGTCCTTGAAAGATATTTTATTTATTAGGAATATGACTTTTTAATTAAGAATTGTTAAACATCAAAATGTTTTCATTGTAAAATAGATCATTAATGACTGAAGACATTTCCATGAACTACGGGGAAAAAAACACAAGCTCTTTATGCATCATTAGGATCAAAACTTTAGATCCCTAGCCGGGTGTGGCAGAGCACACCTGTAATCCCAGCACTCGGGAGGCTGAAGCAGGATGATCCACTGATCGATCGATCGATTGCTGTGAGTTAGAGACCAGCCTGGGCTACACAGTGAATTACAGGTCAGTCTCAACTATTATAGTGAGACCCTGTATCAAAAACAGAAAAAAAAAACTTTAGAGCCCTGCAAGCACTAACTCCAGTTCCATGCTTTCAAAGCTATATCTGAAATAACTGTCCTGAGAACTCAAAGGTATTCCAACCTAAGTATCCAAATCAAAGTTTAGTACAGGGTTCCACCATCCCTATGCCCTCAGGTTCTGTATCTCAGAGAATGGCACTACCATTCCCCAAACCCAAACTACCTGTCAATCTGGGGTCAGTTCTTGTCATATTCAGTTACAAAACATTCTAGAACTCATCCCATTCTCTCTAACCTCCACTGCCCCTACTTCCGGTCAGACCCTCATCATCTCTCTTTGAAACCACTATTCCAGAAATCTCCTAAAGGAGTCCAAGCTTTCATCATCTCCAGCTCCCACCCCAATCAGCACTGCTGCCAAAGTAATCTTTAAAAAAGAAAATCTGCTTATGTTACTTCCCTGTTTAGAATCTTTGTCTTCAGGACAAAGTGTAAATCCTTCTAGAACATACAAGACTCTTTATTTCCTACCTTCCCTGCTTCATCTGAGGTCGTGCCCCTATACATCTCATACTAGGCAAACAAAGCAACTTGGAAGATGCCTAACAATGCTGCTCTGTCTGCTCAGAATGCAGTTCTCTCATTTGCCCATCTGGCCAACTCCTACTCATTTTTTCAGACCAGCTCAAACCTCAAAGTTTTCATCATGCGTTTTTCCAGGCTTCTATCAAATTTTGTCCTGCTCCCTATTGTTACACTTATTCAATGTAACATGGTTATTTGTTCATAGGTCTGTCTTCCCAGACCACAAGGAACCCTCTAAGACAAGGATTCTGCGTCCTATTTATCTCTGTATTGTTTGTAAAATGAAAGAATGTCTCAGGATTAAGCAAGAATAAACTGCTCTTGATAAAAGCCCATTATGTGAGTCAAAGCTGGCATATAGGTCAAATCCCAATATAACAAATATCTTTAAATTGACAATCCTCATGTATCAAAACTATTTGTTACATTTGTGTGTCTTAGTAGTTTAAACCATAATCGACATAATGAAATAATTTTCAGAAGATACATTACATTGGACCACCAACAAACTTAGCTGTTCACTATTCACAGATATTCAAGCTATTTCACTCTACCCCATCTACGTGGTCCTTAAACTTCTGTGCAACACAGACCAATTTTGGGAGTCTACCACTTCTTAAATTCACACTACCTTATGATAAACATAAAAATCCCATACATCCCTAGACATAATCCTTAACCCCACCAAGAAATTAAATATAACTTTGTGGTAAAAAAAAATTCACAAGTTCACAAGAGATGTAATCTTGCAGCCAAGACACTGAGCTTGACTCTAAGGTAGCTTCTTTTATTAAAATAAGTATTTCCTTCTACCACAAATACAAACATAATGTTAAATATGCTTTTTCAAGTAGTCTAAGTACCAAGAAAGTCTGTTGGGAAGAACACACCAAAGAGATGCCAATATCTGTTTCTCCCACCTTTGAGAATCTTATGATACAAATTTTCTGGAAACAAATGAAAAACACAAATAGGAAAAAACTCCTCATTTCCTTAGCCATAACCCTCAAGAGAACATGTTTAAATAAATTGGATTCTTTCAAATACTTCTGCCATGACATTTTCCTAATTCCCCCAACCTCTACTTAAAAATAATTTGAACTTCTAGCTAGCAGCAGCTTCTTTTAAACTGACATGCTTTGTCCTTGAAAAGACAAAAAGTCAAAGTACAGAAACAGCTGGCTGGCTGGCTGCCACTGTTTTGGGGGAGCTGGGTGGGTAGAAGATAGAGTAGGAGGAAAAACCAGTGAGAGGAATAAGTGCTAATTTCTTACCCTGCCACATGGCCATCTTGATCCAATCTTCTCCCACAATGAGGTCACAAGCTCAGGGCTTCCCGGAGCCCCCCAGTTTTGTAGGAAGAGTTGAATGGAGTGTAGATGGAAAGGTAGGCTGTGCGGTCCTACTTTCTATAAGATGCTAAAGCCTCAAACCTGAAAATATAAACAGAAAAATAAATACCTAAGAAGAAAAAACATTTCAAATACTCCAAAATTATCTCCTACCCCTATCTGAACCTCTCTTTCAAAAATATGCTGTTTCCAGTTAATATTGCCACTCAGCGTTGTAGAATTCTGCTAAAATCACTGGAATTTTAGTAAATGGGGTCCAAAATCTCAGAGAATGAGCCGCTGGATGAGATAATCGTTCTGTCTTTCCTATCTTGAAGACCCACACTTTGGGGAATAGAGAGCAGCGTTAATAGCCAATCCCCTCCTGGATACCCAAAATACCAAACTTTAAGAAATCAGTACAAAGGAAACAAGTCTTGTGAATACTTAAACTTTTAAACAGATCTTGCATAGGAATAAAAGAAAGAAAATTATTAAAAAGTGCAGAATGATGGAGCCCTTCGTTATGCTGTCTTGAACTCTGTAAATTTCCCATAGGGAGCACACATTGCTTTTATAACAGGATTGGGGCGGGGATGAACTAAGCACAAAGAAAGAATGTAAAATCGAATAAGGTTTTAAGTAAAATCAAATCAAGTCAGCTAATTCCTATTGTTAAAGTTTCAATTTCAGGCATAGGACAATACTATTTGCGAGAGCATGAAAGACAGGAATGGGAAGGGAAAATGTGAGGTCTGACTACTGTATTTAGTTTGATATGGCGGTTTTATATATTAAACACTGTCCAATTAAACAAGTTGTTCATCAGTAATTTGGTCTCCCTTATTTACATACATCTGCTTTTTTCTCAGCAAAAGTCATCTCCTTTTACCTCGTGAGCATCAAATTAGATTAATTCCATAGATTTTATACAACCAGCATCTCCATCTCTGAAGTGAAACAGCTAAGGCACAAATACCGAAGGCTAACACTAGCTTGAGGATCATGCTGGCCCGCTTTACTGTTCCTTCTTTTCTATAAAGGACAAAAGGTTAACGTGTACGCCAGTCCCCAAAAACACCAACAGAGAAAAAGCGCTTTGGGTAAGGAAAGGTACACGAAGTCAAAGAAAACTAGGAACTTAAGAAACTCCCAGGATGAATTCACCAGGAAAATCACTCCAAGGATTTATTGGAACCTGGTATAATTTATTTTGTCTTGCCTTTTTTTTCCTTCTCCTATTTCGCTTGTAGTTAAGTAGTGATCTGCATATTGTGGCACCAATCAAAATCTAACACCTCTGGCTGTTCAACCCATGAAGTTGCTAATAAATGTACGAAATGTATGTAAAAGTGGGTTCTTACTGGCTTTTAATGCTCCAACTCCTGGATTTCCCTCATTTTACCCGGAGCAGCTTCCACTGACGTTATCACACGAGTACACGTACAACTTGGAAGTCGGAGCAACTGATATGCTCTGAAATGTTAATAAAGGCAAATGCACATCTATGTAAAGGAAAACCTTCCCATTATGAGTAAAGACGCTCAAGCGCAAGGCTGCAAAGTCTGGGGAGAATCAGCTACGTGCGTTAAGTGGCAAAAGGGAAACGCTCAGCAAATACTTTGCCAAGAGTCTGGACTCGACTTCCCTAAGACCCCACATAAACCTGCGGCAAGTAATGAGCAGGAGGGAGACCCAGGCCTCGAAAGGGCTTTACCAGAAAATGCCACCCGACCCTAGTCCTAGACAGGGGATGCAAGCAGCTTAACCTCCCCGGTTCAAAAGCGGGCAGGCTTGGCGCCGCTCAGCAAGGAAACTTCGCAGGGGCAGCCCAAGGTCCCTTCTCTGAGAAAAGGGTTGGGCTCCGGGATTCGATGCCGCCCGCACTGGCTAGAACTAGCCTGTCTACTTTCTCCGAGTGCCAGGCTGCGGCCCGGGCAGGGGGAACCCCCACCTCCAGCGGGCCGACCCAGCAGGGGAGCCCTTCCCCGGAGTCGCTGCGGCCTGGGGGTGCCCTGGGG